TACAGAGACTGAGTCCAGTATTGAAGGACTGAGAAGACAGAATCTATGTATGGCTTTCTAAATCTATGAATCCTTTGCTTATCTTTATACTTTAGTTCATTTCTAGTTGTTAATGAACTTTTATTTGTAAAAACAAACAAAAAGACTCTACATTTATGAGTAATTACCATAATATACTAATTAGTATTAGTATACTAATAATATGTGAATAATGTTTAATGACCAGCTCGGAGGGGGAGGTGGGAGTGACTAAGGGGATCAGCGCACTGTCCCCTCCTTCAGGAGCGCTTGAGGTCAGTGAGGAAGACGGGGGATAGAAGATGAGTGAGACCTGGGGAAAATATGTTATTAAGTGGTTCAGAAATTGAACAAGAGAAGGCTTGGTACATCACAGAAGGCCTTGTAGACATGCTAAAGTATTTGCACTTAATCTAAGGTAACGCAAACTAATCAGAGTTTTCCAATCAGAGGAAAATTATAATGAATTCAGATCTGCTTTTTTCTTTTTCTAAGTAGTTCAAAATCAAATAGTGCTTTAAAATTAAATTCAGTGATACCGTGTTTTCTTTCTTTTGTGGAATCATGTATTCCTTAATTTAGACTAGTTTCTTTCATAATTGTTATAGCCTTACATGTTAAAATGAGATAATGTCTATTAACTTTCTGAGATGTGCAAGTGGGAATTACGTTTAAAATGCATCATGTCACATGCATATTTTGCAGTCAATCATGGTGATGTTTAACTTGGCAAGATTTCTCACTAAACCTTAATGAGATCTTACATGTTCTCATAAAGGACTCCTTGATCTGCTATTTTTGGAGCTCATTTTTTTCTGGAAACACATTCTTGTTTATAGCCTAGAAGGCTTTCTCTTTTACCTTAAAGAAAGCTTCCAATTGAAATAATCACATTTTAAACATTTATGGGCTACATTTTTAACAGAAGGACCTTGCTTGAGAGAGAACACATTTAGAGGAAGCAGGAAGTGTGCGTGGTTGAATATCATGGCCAGTCAGAGAAGGAGGAGGATCTGGGGCAAGGAACTGCCTTATCAGGAGAAAATATTGAGAACAATAATCATTACTCATAAAGGCTTGTAGAAACCCAGAAAAGTTAGCATCCTCTGGCATTCCACCTGAAGGTAGGTTTCTGCAGAGCTCTGTTTCCTTGGAGATATGGTTATTGACCTCTAAAATGGCAAAATTTATTTTGAGATATAAGACCAGAGTTTATAAATTGAAGTACTGACCAATCCAGTGAATTCTTAAGACCACTGAAGCTCAAATGTCATGTTGTTACCCACTTCAGTATATTAATTAACACTGTGTTTCTTAGGCCAAGCAGCAGCTAACATAAAATGTAACAATCACCAATTCTGAGTGGTGGGTAGTCACACATTTGTTCTATCAAATTCTTTTCTGTATTTTTAACTGTTTAAAAAATTTATACAGGAGATAATAGAAATTTGGGCTACATCTGTAAACTTATATAAAACCTCATTTCAGATTTTATTCTAGTTGTATTTTAGGAAAGATGCCACTAGTAGGATGTTTGAGTAAAAATATTTCTAATAATGTAACTTCTGTTGCGTGTGGTGAGCCTAGTTTTATAAAGAAAGCACGTTTGAGTAAGTTTTGAAAGACGGTGGGAAGAGATTTGATTGTATGTGTTTTAGGAGTCAGTAGGTCCTGTTAATGGCGGACAGACTTTAACAAAGACTGTGGTAGTACAAAGGGCATTTGGAGTTCATTATGTTTGAGATGATTAACTCTAGGCTATTGAAATCAACTCTGAATCACCAATCTCAGTTTTGCCCTATAACCAAATATTTTCTATGTTAATCAGCTAGGTTGACCTTTGAGAGGTTATTTCATTAAAAGAGATGTGCTTCCTAATTTAAGGTTGGCAGAAATAGAAGTACCAGAGACTAGATCTTACTATTTCAATAATAATATTTCTTCCTTAGACCTGTGACCTGAAAAGTTACTTATGAAGAAAAAGAAGTTTGGAGAGTTAAGAGTCTTAATCATCCCACCACGATTTATCCACTTATTACTGTAGTTACTATGACAGTGGGAGATGGAATTAATCTTACATAGAATTTTCCTTAGGCCTTAATGAAGAATCAGATACCACATGTGCAACCAAGAAATACAAGGTTCTCTGGGGTTTTCCCCTCCTGGAAGCCTCAATTGTCATTTCCCTGGGAGAAGCAGGTGGTGGAGCAAATGGTCCTGGTCCCAGCCCACTCCTCACAAGGAGAACAGGGACTCCTATGCAGAGGCTTCCAAACCACGGCTTGGAGAGCCCCAGAGGCTGCTGAGTGTTTAATGAAATTTCCAAGGGAATAAAGGACAGTGCGTGAAATCACTGTGATGCGGCTTTACGAGCCACAGGCAGACTCAGAACTTTCCTTGATAAACGGTGGAGTCACACTCAGGGTCCTTCATGAGCTTACTCGAGACTAGTTCACATTTAGCCTGACCAGTAGAATAGGCTTGGCTGCTTAGTCAAGGCTGGAAAATAGCCAGGGGACACCGGTGAGTGGTCTCTGATTATCCTATGGGCGAATTTTACTCTTTTGCTCATTCAGATGGTTATATTCAGGAGAACAGTGGGGGAATAAAGAAATGTGTACATCAAAGAACAGAAGAGATATGAGGATGAGAGCCTCTCAAAGGAAAATGGCTCATGTGAGGAGTTTGGCCATGTCTGAAGATTTTGGATGTTCTTGCTTTTCAACTCTTCTGTTTGTCTGTTGTACTTTGTTTGAGTTGGAATTTCCTACCTGAAATTGGGACCACATTCAGCCTTTGACATCTTGCTCTTGAATTGGGACTATATTTATAACCTTATATTTTACAAAATTGTTTTTTGCAACATATTTATAATGTCATTTATCATTCAACAGTTCTCACTTTACATAACATGTGTTCTGAGACTATGTTGTATAGGTAAAATTGAGAGGGCAGAATACTTTAAGTGTTTTTAATGTCACCTGATATTTAAATTAGAGCTACATGGATTGTTTTGTAAAACTAATTATTACTTTGTATTTATCTGTTTTGTCAAATTGATGTTTTAAATACTTGGTCTACTCAAAATGAAAAAAGTAATCTACTTTTTTAATATTTAAAAGCTATCTAGCCTCTCATTTTTCATCGCCCTTGGTATAAATATAACTCATACAAGTCATATCTATATTTTGAAAACTTTTACATTTCAAACCAAACAAAATCAAAACCTAAGAAGTTGGAAAAAAGAAGTATAAACTTTACCAACAGGAAATTATGTTTTGTTCTTACTGAGAAGCTCAATTAAAATTATATGAAATGGTGTAAAATATGATTTACATTTTATATGATGAATCCTGGTTCCATTCGACTATATAGTCATTACCAAAAATGAAACAAATCCACAGCAATAATACATTTTTAAAAACCCTGTAGCATACTTAATTTTTATGCCACTACTGCAGAATAGAAATGCCTCGTCACCACCCATTCCTTAGAACATGTCTATACTCAGCCTCTGAAAGCCACAGTCTAACAATCTTACCAAAAATAATATTTCTACAGCTCATCTTTCCTTCATAGGAGAATTTTCTGTTTCTTGGGAGTTAATAATCGTCTATTTCTAAGAAGTTATGCTTTTTGGTTATGTTCACATGAACAAAATCCAAGTTAGATTTTGAAATAACCATTTTTCATCTAATCAACAATCTGGGAGCTTACCAGACTCATGAGAAATTGTCTTAACAGTGAGAAGCTTCACACTCTCTTTATCGGACTGAGGCCTATTTGGAACAGAAAACGTTTGAGTTAACACCACAGTAATTAGCATTACATATCTGTAAAAGAAAGTAAACATGATATAAACAGAAAGAAGAAAATACACATGCATAGATATATATTGTTTTATGTGTTTCTACAGCAAAATCTGTGTCTCTTCACATACAAACTCACAGACACTTTGATAGCAATTTCACTTCTGGAATCAAGCCAAAAAACCTGGGTCATTCTGTTACAGTGATGATCATCAGATAAATTCAACATCAAGATGCGTCACAAGAAACACCTGTCACAAGCTCCACGTTGCACATGCCCCCAGTTCTGTGAATTGTGAAGGGGAAGATACAGAAATATCTCCAAACCTTTTGGACTGATGCTGAGTTCTGGGGACATTCGTTTTCATGAGGTCGTGATAACTGCAGGGTAGTGTCTGAACTGTCTATTTTAATTAAGAGCTCCCATCTATCCCTTCTCTGATTGGAAATAGTTTCAAACTCCAATCCCTCTCCTTGGGCATCTCAAGAACCTCTACTTTTAATTAAGAAGGGTAGGTGACGTAGGGGCATTGTTCTTAAAGTTCACAATCCAATGAACACACATGAACACCCATAAAAAGGCAGGCTACAAAGTCAGGTCAACACAGAAAACTTAACCACAGAATGTGGTTTTGACATTGAAATATTTTGTCTGTGCAGCACCTTTAGTGTAACAGTTGGCTGGAGTGCTAACAACTGTTTTACGTGTTTTAATAAAGTCAAAGCAGAGAAACCATCTGCTGTTAAAGGAAAGCCACCCAGAGCCGTATCAAGGTGCAGCCATGATTCTTCCCAAATCGTGAGAAACATATTGAGATTTTCAATAGGAAAACTATTTTAAAACTCTAAATATGTATTCTATGAATTTCCCCTCGTGGTTACAGCCATTCCTCTATCTTCCATTTCAACGTTTGATTTCTGATTTTACGACTTCACTCAAGCTTAAGAGCAATCTTCACTTTTAGTTGGAATTTCTCTGTTGAATAGAGAGAGAGCTCTCTGATAATAGTTAGCCAAATGCTGTATGTCGTGCTTTCTACACAAATATTTTAAGAAACAAAAGAAAAGGTATGAGTAGAGTATCAATACTTTTCCCTATGTAAACAATAGGGTCAGAGTTTCTAGGGGAAACAACAGAGATGTGGCATTACTTACTGGTCATTTCCATTTTCCGGGGTGCCTAGAAGAGGAGGGAACTGTTACTAGAGTTGCAGGGAGCTTGGCCACAAAAAAATTTAAGACCCCTGCCCCTTTCTGTGCAAAGCCTGTGTCTAAAGCCAATTTTTAACTTATTCTCTCCCCGCACCCCACGTCCCGTTGACCATTTTCTCAGACATGGTTACTACTCCTTCTTCAGTCACAGCTAGCACATTCACGGTTCAGTCTCAGCTAGACCAACCCCACTGAACTTGGTTCTGGACAAATCTCAATCTTATCATTTCATATCACTGTGTGAAACTATTATCCGTGATCGCACATCCTGCAGACACCAGAAAATGTCTCAGCTTATTTCAGTATATCTGAAAAAAAAATTCTCCTTAAAGTATCAAATTACCTTTATAACAGAGAATTGAATTTTTGGCTTTTCTTTATACGTTGCTGTCTCTGGGGACACAAATCACTGTATTTATGGTACACCACGATGCAGATATTGCTTCTAATTGCATCTGAAGCTCAAGGATTCAGCCTCTCAAAAGAGCCCTGCAAAATGTCCATGAAGCTGCTAACTGCAACTAATCTTCCATCTGCTTTGCCAGCCTGTTCCACGAGGGTCAGGTAGGAAACAAGTTGGGCTTAGAGCAGAAACTCAGAATGATTCACTCTGCTCGAGAGCATGGCCTCTTGGGAGCAGACCTTGGTGGTCAAACCTTATATGAATCTGTGGCCTGTTAGGCAAAATATGTAATGTAATCACTTAAGTTCCTTGCTTGGTTCCGGATTTTGCTGTAGTTTTATTCCATTGCTACTCAGTTCCTATCTCTCGGATATCCTTTCATCTCTAATCTGTCTTCTGTCATCAGGATATGCCCTTGGAATATAATTCTCCTGTCTTTGCCTACCATTGTTTTATAAAGACCTTGATCTCCACTAATGTTTTGGCTACTTCTACTTCTATCCCCTTGGCAAAGATGCTGCAACATGAATCTTAATCCCTCGAGTTTAATTCATGGCACCATATGCTGTTCACCAACTAGATCTAACCTCATCTTCCCTACCATCAGTACAGTTTTAACAGCATTTTAAAATTTCCATTATAAGTGTTATATATGATACCACATGTGATGCTCATAGCTGTTTTAGAATGAGTTGGTATTTTTTGTATGCCTTTATTTTTTTCCTTAGAATACTATGAGTTCATTAGCAGATATGCATACTAACAGACAACTTCCTGCGTATTTGCCATTCTCATTTGAGTTAAAGCTCAGACTACTGTCAGCATTATCCAGATAAGCTTGTTTTCATACCAAAATCTCTGATTCGTGTTGGCTTCCAGAGAGCAGAGTGGGTTTACAAATTTTCCGAACTTAATGAAGTCTCACCCACATACCTGAAGAACGATTAACTGTGGTGTTTAATGGTGCTAGTTTAATGATAACAATACTATAAATTCTGTTTAGAAAATCAGGTTGACAACAATCAAATAGATTTGGTTAGTTGTACGATTGTCAAACTTGGCTATGAAGTATTTTATGCTTTCAGAATAACTCTCCATAGTGGTAGGAATTGTACACTTTTTTTTCCTGCATGATTCAGTTCATCCATAAAGTCCTCTTTCAGAGAAAATGTCAGCTTTTCGGATAACTTACTTGCAAATCATCCTAAGCAAAGCAGTTTTTCACTACAGGGTATTCTTCCAAGTGAATTTAACCCATTGATTTTTTCCCTGTCCTCGATACTCAATGCCCACTGGCTTCCACCTGGCTGGCTGCTGCCCATAGAAGATAGTACTGGTTGTTTAGAAACACAGAGAAATTAAACTGATTTGTAAAAATGCTATTTCCCCTCTGGAAACTGAGTGAGGAAATACATTTCAGACATTATTAAGAAGTTTATTCACTAACTCCCAAAGGGAAAGACATTGATTTGTTTTCCTCTTATTTTCCACCAAAAGTAAAATGAGCACTGCTGTTTCCGTCTTATCACTTTGCCTTGCACTGTCGGGCTCGCGCGCTAACGGTCCCTGGCCTCGGGAACAGTGTTCGTTGGTGTCCTGGGGGCGCACTGTCCACGGGGTAACAAAGAAGAGCGTGACGTATGTATCTTGTAAAAATAATTGATTTTTACTTTTTAACAGTATATGAGGCTTAGAGTTCAGTTAGTGAAATAATTAGAATTAAAGTGAGGAAAAAGATTCTATTTTACTGAAAACTAAAAAAGTTGACTCAACAAGCATATCATAAGGCTCTGCTATATACTGTGCACAAAGCAATGTGAACGACACGTAGTTTGGGACTTGGAGGGGCCACCTGATGTGATGGATGGAAGGTCTGTGTCCCCCTACAATTCATATGTTGAACCTTGACGCCCAATGTGATGGTATTAGGATGCCGGGCTTTTGGAAAATGATTAGGTCATGAGGGCGAGTCCTCATGAATGGGCTTAGTGCCCTGATAAAAGAGACCCCAGAGAGTTCTCTAGTCCCTTCTGCCATGTGAAGACACAGGCGGATCTAAAAACCAGGAAGACGGCGTTCATCAGACATTGGATCTGATGGTGCCTTGACTGAACTTCTCAGTCTCCAGAACTGTGAGAAATAGATGTTGGTAGTTTGAGCCACCTGGCTGGGGCATTTTTGTTGTAGCAACCTAAACAGAATAAGATGTTCAACTTGCAGGGGAAGCAGGTATATGGAGACATCCCTATACTATAGTGTGATGAAAAATATCATTAAATTCTGTAAAATTAGCCATACGAGAACACACCACTCTGCTTAAAGAGATGGTGTGTTAAAAATATACATTAAATTTGCTTTTAAGCTAGATCTTAATGGATACGTGGGTAGGACATTCTAGGAGAAGGAATGACCTGGATGAAGGCACGGATACACAGCACTACAAAATATAACCAGGAAGGTGGCTGAAATGGGAAGATGATTGGAGTTTAAGACAACACAGAGGAGTGCTGAGTCATGAGAACTAAATGGGGACTCAGATGAAGCATCAAGTGAAAAACAGAGCTCAAGTTCCTAGAACAAAAAAAAGACTGAATAAAGACTGAAAGAAATCTGAATAACATAGGAACTTCAGTTAATAATTTTGGTTAAGTCATTGTGACAAACATACCATACTAACGTTAAGATGTTAATAATAAGGATATTTGGGAACTCTCTGTAACTATCTTCACAATTTTTCTGTAAATCTAAAACTATCTTAAAATATAAAAGTTTATTTTGGACAACTCTTGAAAATATACTGCCATTATGGGAACCATAAATATTCAAGAGGCAAGGAGAAGAAGATGATACAGCAAAAAGGAGAAAATGAAGACTGAGGGTGTAGAAGAAAGCTGTGTCATTTTAAATGAAAGAAGAAAGACTTTTGGACGCTAATGGAGAGATTAAGGAGGATAATAAAGAATTGTCAAACTGGAATCCCTCTAAAAATTGCAATTGTGTTCAATCCCGAGGAACCGATTCAATCAGCAGAACATACAGTCGAGGAAGACACCTTCATTGGAAGGAAACTGTGCCTCCCAGGAGGGAAATTGGTCACAAAACACTCTTCAAATCATGGGTCCCTAAGTGAAATCCTCAGCAATACTTCCCTTCATTCTTTGTTACATGGAAATGGAACAAATCTTAACTGTAGCTAAGACATGTCATTTTATGGCTTCTTTTCTACCGTATTTCCCCGCCCACCCACAAAACGAGGGCTATTTCATTAAAAAGAACTTGTCCATGTTTGATCATATCTGCCACTAGTAGTTAATTCCTGTTCCTTACATTCACCAGTGTTCACTGGATTTCTCTGCCCCTCTTCCTCTATTTCTGTGATCAAGCAGTACGGCATTTGGTTTCTGTGTGTAATTCCTCTCTCCCCTTAAGAGTGTAAATTCAAGTTTAGACTAAGCATGTTTATTCTCTTGTTAGGAAAACAAAATGAAACAAAACACTGTTACCTACCTGGGTCTGTCTTCCAGCACATTCGATACAAACCCACCAGAACAAAGACTGAAAGTGTTATGACAATCAAAGCAATAACCACAGGCAAAATAATACCTAAAAAGCATTGGAGACATTGTCAGTTAGAGTGGCTACTGAATTTCACAACAAATAGTTTATGAACTGAGCAAAAGCATTCATGCTTCCTTTCTTCTTTAAACATCATTCTTATTACAGACTTTATATTTTAGACAAAGAAGATGCATCCGATTGCTCTAGTTGTCATTTCTGATATATCCACTTGATGTCAGTCTTGTAGCCCTTCTAAAATAAAACTCCAGCCCTAAGGAAGGCAGCTCCCACCTTCCTGGAGACTGGAGGAATGAGGAGATGGGAGACTGGCCAGGCAGATGTCCTCTAGAACTATGGTCAGACCCACATGCACACTTTATATTCTCTACTGCTTTATAATGAAGTTACTAACATATCTGTATTTGAATCTGTATCTATATATCTTGGATGAAGGCAGTCAAAAGGCACAAACTTTCAATTATAAGATAAATAAGTTCTAGGGATATAATGTACAACTTGATAAATATAATTAACACTGTTGTATATTACATATGAATGCTGTTAAGAGAGTAAATCCTGAGTTCTCAACACAAGAACATTTTTTCTATTTCTCTAATTTTGTATCTATGTGAGATGATGAGTGTGCACTAAACTTACTGTGATAAGTTTCATGATGTAAGTCAAACCATTATGCTGTACACCTTAAATGTATGTAGTGCTGTGTGTCAATTATATCTCAATAAAAATGGAAAAAAATATATCCCCTACTGGCCCTACTGGCAATGTTCTAGTCATAAAGCTGGCTTCCTAAAAAATTCACAGATACCTTTCTGTAATACTATCCTAAAACTCTAAAAAGGCACACAGTATCATAAATGGATATAAATGGCTATCACGGTGGATTTAATTTCTAAACATGAACAACATGGTCCAAGAAAGATAAGCATGTGTGTGTTTGTGAATACCTGCTTGGGGGAGTGGTGTTGATGCAGTAAATTAGAGTGAGTTTTTCCTGTTCTTATTAAGAGGAGGGTTTTGCTGTTGGTTTATTTTAGCATCTGCCTTCTTTTCTAACAATCGTAGTCCAGGTTAAAACAAGAGTGATGAGAGGAAAAAGCTGTCATCGGGACGTAAGGAGAGACACAGACGTTATGGTTACCATTTAGTCAGTAGTCTCCTCTGCTTGCCTGTTCTCCTTATGTTTATCAGGGGTTGAGAACAGCTATCCAGTTCATCTGTTGGGTGGTTTACACTTCGACTCTCATGGGTAAGAGTTTGTTTTAAGTTATGTCCTGCTGGGTGCACATTAGACCTTGGTGAGATCATTAGTGCCTCTCAAAATGAAGATGCCATGAATCAGCAGGTCAGTACACGCAATATTGACTTACTGAATGGAATGACTTTACCTAAACCTAAGATAATCTTTTATCATCACAGCTTCCTGTATATTCATCACATTCTTAATTTCCAGGGAAATTAATGAATATTCTCTATTCAATCCTAGTGTATGCAGTGTGTTGTATGACACATGCTTTTGCTAAAATGGAACACTTCTTAAAAAGCCATTTTTAACATTAAGGTAAAGTCCTATATTGGTGATAATTCATTTTTATGGAGATCTTTCTACCTGTGCACTTTGGCTTATCTGAGACTAGTCTCATCAATTTACCTTGACCCCTGGTGGTAATTGCTGAGCACTAAGGTAAGAAATAAAAAATCCCCAAAGTGTACTCGTTAAAACCAGGCTCAACAGGAGGAAATTTTCAAAGCAAGTGGCAGTTATATAGGATTATAATGGGATTGCAGGTTCAGTAAAGTTGAAAAAGGCTATCTATAATTGACTCCTTTCCCATATTGACAACATTCAGACATTCTGCAGATCTACTGCCATGAATGAAGGTACGTCTGTTACTCACTGGAATAAGAGGGGCTGGCTGAAGACGCGCTTGCATTTTTTCCATTCTCAGAACCTATTGGAGAAAGAAAGAAAGAAAGGAAAGAAAGGAAAGAAAGGAAGAAAGGAAGAAAGGAAGAAAGAAAGAAAGAAAGAAAGGAAGGAAGGAAGGAAGGAAGGAAGGAAGGAAGGAAGGAAGGAAGGAAGAAAGAAAGAAAGAAAGAAAGAAAGAAAGAAAGAAAGAAAGAAAGGAAGGAAGGAAGGAAGGAAGGAAGGAAGGAAGGAAGGAAGAAAGAAAGAAAGAAAGAAAGAAAGAAAGGAAGGAAGGAAGGAAGAAAGGAAGAAAGGAAGAAAGAAAGAAAGAAAGAAAGAAGTAAACCTTTGGTTAATGAGTACCAATCCTCACAATCTTCCCCACACCTCTCCGCTCCTCATTTATACGGGCATCTGAGATCTATAGCTATGAAGCTTCAAAGTGAAAACATTTTGTCTGAAAGAGCTCTGTTTTGTGAATCAAGAATGACAGGGAATGAACATACACAATCTGATGTGTGTGGACACGTGCACACACCCATGATACCAGCACCACAATCAAGGTAGTAGACATAGCTGTCACCCCCAAAAGTTTCCTCTTTCCCCTCCCTTTTTTGTGGATGTGCAGTTTTTTTTGTGTATCAGTTATACTTCAATAAGCTGTTTTTTTAGGCTGGTGGGATTTTCTTGGTGAGAAGGGTTAAGCGAAGCAAGTTTCCACTCATGCACACAGAAGCCATACTTTGAGACGGTGAGACGTTTTCTGGAATCACTGGTATTGAGGTTAATAAACTGGTTTGGAAAGGTGATGATGCATCTGGTGGTGAGATGTTAACTGTAAGAAAATGATAAATATAGAGTCAGATTATAGTATTTACTCTTCTTACTGAGTTTTTTTGCAGATTCAAACAGCCTGCATTTCTGAAGATCTGTAAAAACTGTTTATTGTTGAATAATGAGGTATACATTATTATACACTAAATCATGAGTTCGTCTATCTCCTCCTGCAGAGATGATTAAATTTGGAATCACAAAACTTTGATATTAGTATTACAGCTTCAAGAACTGGCCAGAAAACTCAAGGAAGTTTCTCACTTACTGCTCTAGCTAAAGCCTGTATCACCTACCGCACAAGACTCTTACAGGATGCAAATCTGCGCAAAACCATTATTTACGTTTTAGCTGTTACAACTCTGGGTGATAGTGATTTTTAATCATCATATTTAAATGGACATAAATGCACTGGACTTTGTATTTTATATTGTTTCTTAGTGGTTAAAGAGAAAGATTACAATTGAGGCTTTGTTTGGAAGAATTAGGGGGAAAATCAAAGAAGGTCCATTTATTTTCATCTTTGATGGCCAGCAGTGATTTGAACTTGTGTGCCTTCTCTAGAGTAACAGCTGCTTGGTTGCATTTTCACCACTGTCCATGCTCTTTTTTTACACGGAAAATGTTAATTTTAAATGTATTATTATTGTTTGTGTGCTTCAGTCAACATTTGCCATCTTCAAGCAGGACTAAAAGAAAAAAATACATAAAAATTTATTATTCTAAATTCATAAACCTCAACACATTTCAAAGAAATATAAATAATTACATATTTTCTAAGTGTACAGCATTTATTCTTGTGAACCTGGGATCAAACGTAGTTTGTATTTAGAAAATTTTTTGGAAAACCATTCTCTTTTTCTTGAAGTGTGAAGTAATATCTTTTCATCACACTTGTTTGCCTTGTCTCGTCACTGAATTGCAGGTTCTTGGAGTGTGAGGGCTGTAACTCCCACCACCTACCACATGAAGCTCTGACCACAGTGGGTGTGCAGTAAAATGTAGCTGACTGCTTGGCTGAACTAAGAGCTATCTCTTATAAACACAGCCCCCTTAGGAGTATTAAGGCCATGCATAATTGCATGGAAGAAATTGATACTGCTTCTGGCTGCCTTAGATCTTTCCTTCCTTGCCACCCACAGCCCAGCACGCACTGCATGCTTATGCATTTTTGACATCTGTGGGGGAAGAATACTGTTAAGAGACTGTACCGTTCTTGCCATGCAAGAGATCTGTGGGAGGAAGCTAGATATATGCCCATAAGAACAAAGAAAAATGTCAGGCTAGTGCACGAAGCAGGCAGAAAAAGGAAACTTAAATACAAGAGTGGGAACTAACTGAAACCTTGGTCCTTAGCTGCTGATTCCAGTGTCAAGTGTTCTAGTGAGGATGAATGTTCTTTTGGTCGTGTTGGTAGAGAATGAGATGGCTGATTAAATAACCAATGGCATTAATCCCCCTCGGCTTTCCCAAGGGTTCATCCTCAAGGCTCCACACTGCACCTTATAACCTTCTTGTAGACAGGCTAGGCAGCAGCCTCAGTTCTGAGTATCATCTATCTGGCTCAGATGAAACTCTCCAAGTTTTCCTCCTTAAAACACGTTGACTGTCCCGTGCCAACTGTTGTTGCTCAGGATCCAGAGGCAGGCAGTAGAATTAACCCTCCTTAACAAAGGACTTACTGGCTCCTTGAAACAGACTTAATTTTTTTTTCTTTTAACCTCAGCCTCCAGTTAATAAATCATTTCGGAATTCAGTACACACACACACACACACACGCACGCACACACACAATTCACCTCTATTACATTTAATGCCTTCTGGTGTTCTCTTTCCTATCCCCTTTAATTTTTTAAAAATACTGTTTTTGATCCACTAATGGGAATTAACTTACAGTTTGAGAAACCCTGTCCATTAGCACGATCATATTGATGAAATTACAGGTCTTGGCTGAATTCATAAATTGTGATTCTTCTGTGGCTAAGATAGAGGATCCATGCCACGATCTGTGGATTTCATTGAGACTCTACTGTCCTACATTATTACTAAAGCATCCTTGGCAGAAGAGGTACAGGAGAGGAACAGTGGATGGTCAAGTGCATGATTGGAAGACTGAGTACCTGGACTCTAGCATTTATTTGCTGTGGCATCTTGGGCAAGTCACTTATGCTCTTTGTGTCTGAGTTCCCACATCTACAAATAGTGATTAAAATTATTCCGCGTCACAGTGTTGTAGTGAAAATTAAATGAGTAAGAATAAATTTAAATTGCTTAGAAGAGTTCTTGAGACTATATGTTTGTACTGTACAATTATAAAATTTTAATATGTTATGTTATATTAATATACTAT